GAAAAGAAGTTACTTTATGCACCTCCTGATGAATTTCAGAGCTTGGTAAAACAAGTGCTTTCTTGGGATATTTTGTCGGGATATCAACGAAGCCAACCCTATAATTTCTTGGTAAAAATCGATAATGGCAACACAGATGATTCGAATTGGAACAATACCAAGAAGATGAGGGTTTTGGAACTGGATCCAGTGCTGTGATTTATCACCTGATTTTGGAAGGTTTGAATGTTTCAACATAATTAATTCCAAAGCCAATGTTTTTGATGAGAATGTCACCCTTTCATCTCATACACAAAACGGTGATCAAATCAACGATGGACAATGTTACACATTTGTCCCTTAACTTTGCTCAGCTATCTAAGTTGGCCCTCCACATTTATTTTGATGCTATGTTACGCAACTTTTCAAGTTTGACCAATTTCTTCTTACCGTCGTTCACAAACTCAATATAAGAAAAATTGTGGTGCTGGAATTAATATAATTTATTTTGAAACTTATTTATTTATATATAAGTAAAGTTTCTAGAAAGTTTGGACAGAGACATTAATCATNAAACCTCTTGAAACAAAGTCCCAAAAAGGGGTGTTTATCGAATATGAAAATTACAGTTTGGATACGAACAAGATGCCTCTAAGGTGAATTAATTAAAGTTAATCTAAGAAAAAGTAAATTACATATTCTCTATTTGAGAGTGAATTTTGTCGGGGTTTTCTTTATTGTTTTCCTCTTTCTTTTATATTCCTTGAGCAGTTCTTAACCGTTTGGACTCTGTTTGTAACTACCCATTGCTTTCACAGTGGCTGACTGGCCAATAACTATCATTTGTAACTCCTACCACCACGTTTTTTTCATAACCGCTTGTCACTGATTTTCTCAAATCGTGGGATGTAATCGTGATGTGCTCAAACCGCCTCAAATCGTGACTTAAGTTAACAACAGGATTTAGTCATCGCTAGAATTTTGAGCGACCCAACAATTTGGGCGACGACTCATTTGTTCTGAGCGTCCATAGGGGTACTTTATTCGCTCAACATTTGGGCGTTCTGCAAGTTTGGACGACGGCGTTCCTTTGTTTGTGAGCTTTTACATTTTTCAATAATACCCTTTACTTGGGCTTTCATCTTAGATTTTCAACTGGGCTTCGCTCTTTGAATCATTTAATTTAGGCTGCACTTTTAGTGTGTCAACATGACCACTTGTTGTAGTTTCAACTAATTTCTCTGAATGTTTCTTCTCTAGTCTAGCTGATTGTTGGTCAATGGGGGTAAGATATTATAAAACTAATAAAGACGATTTTTCTTTCACATCTTTGACGAATGTCTTATGCATTCTATTTCTATATCGATTACATTATATATCGAGTCCGTTGTGGTTTATTCTCAACATGTCTTCCTAGGAGCTGATTTATCCTTTTTTTAATTTCCGGAAAAGAAGTCACTTTATGCACCTCCTGATGTATTTCAAAGATTGATAAAACCAGTGCTTTCTTGGGATATTCAGTCGGTATATCAACGAAGCCAACCGTATAATTTCTTGGTAAAAATCGATAATGGCAACACAGATGATTTGAATTGAAACATTACCAAGAAGATGAGGATTTTGGAACTGGATCCAGTGCTGTGATTTATCACCTGATTTTGGAAGGTTTGAATGTTTCAACATAATTAATTCCAAAGCCAATGTTTTTGATGAGAATGTCACCCTTTCATCTCATACACAAAACGGTGATCAAATCATTGATGGACAATGTTACACATTTGTCCCTTAACTTTGCTCAGCTATCTAATTTGGCCCTCTGCATTTATTTTGATGCTATGTTACGCAACTTTTCAAGTTTGACCAATTTCTTCTTCCCGTCGTTCACAAACTCAATATAAGAAAAATTGTGGTGCTGGAATTAATATAATTTATCTTGAAACTTATTTATTTATATATAAGTAAAGTTTCTAGAAAGTTTGGACGGAGTCATTAATCACGTCTTACGAGGATAAATCAGGACGGTCAGGACGGCCGGTCTTCAAATTACTTTGATACGTCCGACTACGCTGTCGCATCGTCTCACGCGTTGGTCTAATTAATTGCGTTCCGAGTTTGACCTTGCTTTGTTAATTAAATAACAAGAACGCCCTCTGGTTTCCAAATAAAGAAAGGTATAATAATAGCTTGGCCTTGCTTTGTTTATTAAATTAAATAACAAGAATATCCGCTTTGGTTTCCAAATAAAGAAAGGTATAATAATAGCTACAAGAAAACGAAACCTGCTTAGTATTTCAATTAATGATACTATATCCTTGTTTGATTCTCATTATTTCAAAAATATATTTTTTCTCTTCTTTTCAATCACACGTTCTTCAATAAAATAATATTACACGAAAATCTAAAATTTTTCCTTATTTTTTAACAACACATTTTTCATCAATCTACTATTTCAAAATGTATTCTTCTGTAAAAAAAAAAAGAGCTCAAACAGACTCTATATTCTTAGATAAATGAACAAAATTTTGGTACAAGTAATCTTGAATTATTGATGCGTGGCCCACCTGTGATTGTGCGTGTTACACATGATATGGAAGTGATTGTGCGTGTTACACATGATATGGAAAGAAAATTTTATAAGACTATTCGGCATTATAGGACCATTTATTTAACTCATGACATTTCGAACCTCGAATTTATCAAAATGCAATACCTCGCTAGACACGACGAGGTGTTGCAATTTAAGTGACCCGAGATTGATGTGACGATCCTATCATAAAGTATATTAGAACCGTGACATTGAAGTTTTAATTGCGACTTGAAGACGTTCCCTCACAAAACGATAAAATACGGCTAAACTTCTTTGGATCCTACTACGTTCTATTTTATTACCAATCTTGCTACAGTGACATTAAGTTTTTTGTACAGTGTGTGAGCTGGCACCTCACACAGAAATTGTCTGAGTTCCATTATTTTAAAAAAATGATTTTGAAAAATGTGCGATTAAAAAGTAATGAAATTTTTTTGATTTACGCGTAATATTATTTTATTGAGAAAATATGTAATTAATAATATAAGAGAAAAAATAAATTAAAATTTAATAAGGGCCAAATAAGGCAATATCGTATACAAATAGCATTTTCCATTTTATTGCGGGACAGCAGTTGCTTGGTCATAGAAACTGAGAACTGGACCAATCAGGAATATATGATATTAAAAAGTAATAGTCCCTGCATAGATTAGTTTTGTTTGTATTATGACGACAGAGTGAAAGGAATTTAAACAGGTTGTCTAGCAAGCCAAATGATTCTTGATAAGAATCTTGCCAGATCACATATTACAGCCATACTCATCCAGAAACTTATGTATAGAATTCTCGGTATGTCCTGTTTGATGCATATTTTAGAAGTAAGAATGCATTTTTACTGTTGATGTGATTGAAAATATGTAGTTGAAAAAAAGGAAAAGTTACTGATGTGATGAAAAATATTATTTTATTGAAAAATATATGGTTGAAAATGAGTAGAAGAATGAGTGAGAAAAATAATGTGGATCAAACATGGGGACAATGATTTTTAATCAAATCAAACAAAGACTTGGGAGTGTTTGACACCCATTTTAGTAGAAAAATGAGTTTTTGAATAGTGATTGATGGAAGAATGTGTGGTTAAAAAGTAAGGAAAATTTTTAGGTTTATATGTAATATTATTTTATTGATAGAATGTGCGGTTGAAATGAAAAAAGAGAAAAAGAATGAGAATGAGAATGAGAAAAAAATGGGTGCCATACAGGGGCATAATTTATTCTCAATCAACACTATATCACTCAATCAACACTATATCACTCATCCTATATGGCAAATTTGATACGATATTTGCTTTTCCTTTTGATTTATGTAAAAGAGCTAATAAGAATATTATCTTAATTTTTTGTTTTAAAATAAATTTTTAAAATTTTTTTCTATAATAGAAGTGATTTAAAAGAAATTTACAATGGACCAGTTTTCTTTAAAGTTATTCTAACTAGAAGGAACACTTTATAAAATTAGTCAAATGAGTATTTAAAAGCAGATTCTGGGTCTCAAAAGTCATACTTAATGGACCATTGTTCTTATCTTATTTACACCTCTTTGATTTTCATAAAAAATAAAATTTTAATATATTTTGATAAACTTATTAATGTGTGATTGAAAAATCAATAAAAAAGTTGTATATCTCGTAAAGCGGCCTCATTTTTTAAAGCTATTTTTCATCAAACTCATTTTAGCTCTTGTTTGATGGTCATTATAATCAAAAAATGATGTTTTAAATAGTGATTTTTTTTTTTGAGAATGTGTGATTAAAAAATTTGAATTTTTTTGAATTTACGTATAAAATATTTTATTACGTGAATATATGATTGAACAAGATACAAACAGTGGTTTAAGTCACATATTTCACAGAACCTATAACTTTTATTAATTTTTATAACCAGAAAATTATTTAATTTTTATTAAAATCTTCAATCATACATTATACAAAAAAAAAAAAAAAATTTACACGTAAACCAAAAATTTTTCATATTTTTTAACCACGCATTTTCCAAAAAGTTATTATTATAAAATTCATTATCATCATCATCATCATCATAATATTTTTTTGGTCAAAAATGCATTTTTGAATATTATTTTATGGAAGATTGTGTGGTTAAAAGTAAGAATTTTTTTTCGATTTACATGTAATTATTTTATAGGATGATGTATGATTGAAAATAATTTTTTTAAAAAAAAGAATTTTCGAAAATATGTGGGTCAGGCTAAATGTTATTAGGAAAATGATAGAATATATGTGGGTCATTCAATGTAATTTTCTTAAAAATTGTGGATCGAATATATTTAGCCTTTTGAAAATCAACCATTCTTGACTCTCCACCACCTCCGTTACCCTACAATGGGGTTATCCTAAAGATTCTGATCCTCCAACATTTTACCCAAAATTGACGAAAACACTTGCACCGGAAGCCCTAAAATCGGAACTTGTGAACAAATGGATTCGCCGACTAGCCGGGGCGGGTCATCAACGTCCTCCGGGCGGTCTTCTGTGATCGATTCTTTACGCGGGTGCACTTTGGCCGGCTTGCGGATCCCCAAGGAGGAGTTGAGGAAAAAAATAACGCTGCCTGAATACATGAGACTCGCGATGAAGGAAGCGATCCAGGCTAAGAACGTCGAAGCCAATACAGTGACTCAGCTCTACCAGGCGGCTCACACGGATGGAGCCGAGCCACCGGATATGCCTGAGTCGCCATTGGTTGTTTTTATTAATTCCAAGAGCGGTGGGCGCCACGGTCCCGAACTAAAAGCCCGACTTCAGGCTCTCATGGGCGAAGAGCAGGTCATCTAAATACTTATAAGTGTATTTTTGTCGCTGTGCTGTTCTCACGTGCATATTTAAAGAACATGTAGACCATCATTTATTGCTGTTTGAAATTTATGCGGCTGTAAATTTTTAGTTTTTTCTGGGACTGTCTGTACATACAGTACACTGTACACGTTATGAATTTCTGAATTGGTTGGATGAGTTTTTATGCGTCTCTTAGTTTTTTTACCCACTTTTTTGTTGGAATTGGTGGGTTCCCTTTTGATCTGGGCAAGGGAAATTCAACTGTTAAATTAGGGTTTTAAAAAGTAAAATCAGGGTTTTTTTTAGCACAGTTTAATAATGTTCACTATAAGTTACTGAATTTACACTTTCCTTTTTTGTAGTGGTGTAAAGGTATTCGTGGTATGACTATATTTCACTGAAGGGTAACCTATAATCACACAAATTGAAGTAACTTTAAAGAATTTGACATTTTGCGATATAATTTCAGAGATTATTCTTGATAGAGTGCAAACTGCAGTCGACAAATAAAATTCATGTAGCCAACCATGGATGATGATGAGATAAGGCTTTGATAGCTTGTTTTAAAGGAATCTGTCAACAAAATCATAGTTTTTTCTCAGCAAAGAGTGGACCTTTATTTTTTATTTTTTTTTGACTAGATATGCTCCCTCTATGAAGTTTATATTTTTTCTGGACAAGCTCTAATTTAATTTTAAGGTTACAGAAAGGAATTGGGGTGATCACAAAAAAGAAAATAAAAAGAAGAAGTTAGAAACAAAGAAAGGGAATCCTAAGAAGAAGTAAAACTACTTGGTATTGGAGTAGTGCTGCTAATATTTGTCTTGATATCTATTCTTCCATTGGATGTTTCATTCACTAGAATCAGGCTTTATTCTGATCAGTTATGTTGTCCCATCTAGAAACTTGTGATTAGCCTATTTGTTCTTTCATTGGAACTACTTGAATAGGTTTTAGGAAACTGATTGGGTAATTGAATTTCTTTACTCTCAAGCACTGCGAATGATGTTAGATTTTGGAAGGTCAGGTTTACATCCCCCTTCCCTTTTGTTCTTGTGGGTTTTGTTTTTGTATATACGGTTGGGAAATCCAAACCCCCATCTGCATTCCCTGGTGGCGCTTAAGGTTGTGTTGGTGTTTTGCTTAAAAAAAAAATTGATTTTAGATTTTGGGTCCTGACCTAAAGCCTACATCCATAAACTCTAACTGGATGTTACTCTGATATGGTTCTATTATCAAGGGCTCACTGCATAAAGAGCTTAAGTCATATAAAGTTTTCCTCTTTTCTGTTTGATATTAATTCCCGTGTTTATTGTCAGTGCAAGAAATCTGTGGTCTAGAATAACATTGGAAACTCACGTGTGAATTTGTTCCCTTTTTCTTTCCTTCTAAATTTTCCAGGTTTTTGATCTCTTAGTGGTGAAGCCTCAGGAATTTGTTCAGTATGGATTGGGTTGCCTGGAGAAGTTTGCTGCTCTTGGGGACAGCTGTGCTGAAGAGACTCGTGGAAAACTGAGGGTCGTGGTAGGCATCCACACTAACCTAAATCCTTCATTCTTTTGAATTCCTGAAGTTGTACCTTTTGATGCACCATATATTGCTCGTACAAATAGTGCTCATAATCCCTGGGCTTGTTTTCTATTATCGCAATAATTTTGGATGTAAATCTTTAAGTTATTTTGTCGTTAACAGGTTGCAGGAGGTGATGGTACTGTGGGCTGGGTCCTTGGATGCCTAGGAGAGCTTGACAAACAAGGCCGATTGCCAGTTCCCCCTACAGGAATTATCCCACTTGGTACCGGAAATGACTTGTCTAGGAGTTTTGGTTGGGTAAGCTTTCATCTGCTTGAACTTTCCATCTTGTATTTCATCTACCCTGTTTTGAGATGTCTCTCAAAATTTTCTCCAGGGCGGGTCATTCCCTTTTAATTGGAAATCAGCTATAAAAAGAACTCTTGATAGGATAGCTGATGGGCGCATTTGTCGTTTGGATAGGTGAGGTCTTTCGGTACTTCTTTACAATACCTTTTCAGATTATGATGTTGGTGCCACCAATAATTCTTACTTGTATGCGTTTGATTGGTTAAAGACAATAAACATGCTTCATACCATCCCTTGGATGACTTGCCAATTCTTTGTTCCTGTGCTACCACACATCTGTTAATTTGGAAACTGCATCGCTTAGATAGGCAAGGTCTTTCGGTACTTTAAAGTATTTTTTTTTTCAGATTTATGATGTTGGGGCCACCAATTGTGATGTCCTGAGTTCTAGAGACCCGAGTGCCACTATCATAAACTTATTAAATGCAGAAACTTGCTTGCATTAGGAAAATAGGCATACACGTTATAATTAAAGTATAGGAGATATGAAAGAACACTAGGAATTGACTATTGGAAAATTCTATTTGAGTGAGTGGAACTTGAAAATTATTTGACATACTAAGCCATCATATAAATTCATGAAAATATTTAGGGAAGGACTTAACCTATCAATTAACATCCCTTAGAAATATAATTTTATAAAGTTTTAAAGCCTATATAGGTCACATTAAACATTTGAGTTGGAAAAACACTCTAAATTGACAATCTTGCTAGACAGCTATGCGCGACACTTTCGTAAAATCGTTAGACACCCGTTTGACCGAAATAAATTCTATAAGTCTTAAACTACTTAACATATCTAATAATGGCACTCAGATAATTAGAAACAAATTTAGCCCTTGTTTGATGGTCTGGGAAAAACAATCTTTTGAATAGTGATTTTTAGGTGAATGCGTGCCTAATAGTAGGGAAACATTTTGGGTTTACGTACAAAATATTTTATTGTGTGAATGCGTGGCTGAAAATGAGTATGTAGAAAAAATAGTTTTCAAATAATGGTTGTCAAACAGGGGCTTACTAATCCACGCGAACAAATTCTCGGATTATTTTGGCACACCTCAGAAAAGCATGCACTACTCAATATACAGATTACCAATTAAGGTGATTCAAAATGTTATGGACTCTACACTCATAAGGCTTTCATATCCAACATGTTTCATGCATATATAAGAAGTATTTAAAATCGAGGGGCAAATTGTGAAATTCTCAACGGGGTCAATTTTGAAAATTTGTAACTCTTCAATACTTCACATGAAAATAAACCTCATAAACAATCTATTGATGTGTAAAATTTCATAATTTTATATAGAAAATTCGTACATAAAATAGCACGTACAAGAAATCTGGCCTGAAGCAAAAAAAAAAAAAAATCCTGTATTTATTTAAAACTTATTTTTCATGCTTTAACTTTTATAATAGGTTTCCAATATAAAAACCAAACATAATCCTCGACAAAACCACATAATATCCTACTTCATGAATCCAAAGAATATTTAAAACATTAAACTAACTCAAATAAATAATTTCCTTGAACATAAACTTAAAAGTACTCCTCTTATTATCTTTTCTTTTTGCTTTCCACCATAGTCATCATGCATTTTCCACAATTCCACGACCTGAATTAATGAGTATGAGAAGTCTCAATAGGAAAATAATCGGTGCATCCCAATTTTAACAAAAAATGAACACACCATCAATATAGCGTAGAAGATTTTTGGCAAAATCCTAAATTTATATCATATCGTATCCCGCAACCATAACATCATAATTACATTAGTATGACATCAATATCGTATGAAACATTGAACATTAAAATGGGATTACCAATGCATCTCTTTTCCTGCCTTTAACTTTGATATTAAAACTTGAAAGATTTTGGTGAACCTTGAAAAAAACTTTAGTTATTCTTGCAACACTTTGACAGCCTTTTTTATTTTGCTTTCTTCCTCTCTCTCTATTTTCTCTAAAAAACAATGAGAATTTAGGTTTGTGAAAGTGTAAAATTCGTGTATGAGGCTTGAGGGATGGTTTAGGGAGGTTTTTATTTGTATTAATAAAGGAAAACTAGGTCAAATTGGCATGGGACCTTATATGGTAACTTATTGGAATTTTAAATGAATAAATAACTTATGTCATTGCGTAAAGCCTAGGAATATAAATACATATGATCTTATATACTGTGTTGCTCGAACTCTCCAAAAATGAAGTATCCATGTTGACACGACATGAAACAGATACTAACACGGTTTATGGATCGAATCCTTAGTTTTACACTTGGACACGACAACAAAAGGGAGAAGATAGCGGAAGGTGAGTCTCGCTTCTCTGGCTTTATGTCTAGCGGCAGCAAAATTTGCAGAGAAAGAGAGAGTGAGTTGGGAAAGACGATGGGTTTTGGAGATGTGTTTAATGGGCTCTTGAGAAGTCCAATGGATGGAGTTAATGAGTTTATTTTTAATTTAATTTAATTTAATTTGAGCTTATTTTTGTATAAATTTTTTTATTTCTTATATTTTATTTTTGTGAACATTTTATGTTGTAATTAAAATGATTTTGTGCTATATCTTTTTTTAAAATAATATATAAAACAACGAAATTGATTTTTTTATTTAATTTTTTTGAGAAGAATTTATTTTGTCTTTAAATTTAAATTGATTTCAAATTATAATTCAATTGTTTAAATTGATTTTATCGATGGAGTTGACAAACAAAATAAACTACGAGTTTATTTTTTAACAAGCAATATTAGTTAATTCGTGTACAAGTTAATTTAATATTGTGGTTATTTGCTTTAATTGAACCATTTTTCTCCTTTTTATTTTAGCATTATTTTATAACTTTTTTTTAAATTTTTTTGTAAGAAGTATCCCCTTACTCGTATCCAAAATTCGGATTCTTTTTAATCGTATCCTCATATCTTAATTTTTATAATGAGGATTCGACTCCTAGATATGTACCTGTATCTGATATCCGCACCTAAGTCCGAGCATCATAACTTATATATACCATGTTATATGCTTCCATACATATGCAAGACAATCTAGTAGTTTCTGTATTCACTTATTCTCATATATGCCTTCTTTTCCACCTTTTTATGGGATTTTTGTTCACTTTTCTTGTAGGGTACATGCACTAGCCAAGTTTACTGTTCATCAGGTCCTAAGATCCTCCATATTTCATGTTGTTCACCATGGGCTACTCTTGGAGTGGACAGCATAAGCCCCTGTTTGGTGGCCTTTAATTTTCAAAAATTATGCTTTGAATAGTATTTTATTGGAGAATGTGTGGTGAAAAGGTAGGAAAATTTTTCGGGGTTACGTGTAGAATATTTTATTGTGTGAATGCGTGATTGAAAATGAGTATGAAAAATAAATTATAGTAAATTAAAGGCCACCAAACACGGGCTAAATTCATAAGTCCAAAATGTTTTTAGCCTTTAAGGGTACTAACGAGCTCCAAACTTCACCAAATCTCATTCTAAGTCCAAATAAAATACACTTAACTCAAATTTAAATTTTTCACATAAAATTTGACATTTTTCAAAATTGCACTTTAGTCTACGGTTGCTTGACTCATTGTTTAAACTGTACCGATTAAGTTGCATAACTCAATTTCCAAACTTTCGACGAATAATAAATTATTCTTGATAAGTTCGTCTTTTTTCTGACTAAAAATATTTTCAATATTTGCACTTGATACTATCCTATTCAATAATAAATATTTTCAATATCTGACAATAAACATTCTTCATACTATCCCTCGGATAACTTGCCTATTCATTGACCCTATGCTACCACAGATCAGTTAATTTGGAAACTGAATGCCAGCTTGATGTATTTGTAATTCTTGGCTCTTTATGAACACGTGGACATTGTTGGTGAAAGGAAGTTCAGATATAACGCGTTGTTATGAATTATTAAACTGCAATTATGGGTCCGTATCAATATATGAGCTATGATTTTCTGAATATTAAATTTGTGACAATTTTAGGAATATTTGCTTGCGTTAAAATGTATTGTTGAAGTCAGAATATGTATTAAACATTTCCACAACATTTTTTTTATGCCTTTCTTTGGCAGAAAAATTGCCCAAATTATTGAATCTCGAGCATACTAATTTGTTGTGGGTAGTTGCAGGACAGTTGATTTTACAATGAAAGTGCCTTAGTGAATTAGTTGTATGCCTTCTTTTTTCTTTTAAAGCTCTGTCCCTTGGCATTGTTATGAAATACACCTCTCACGTGCAGTTGGAATGCTTTGATATCAATGCCAGCTGGGGAGGACTTGGATACACCTTATTCTCTCAAAGCAACAGAAGAGACACCTCTTGATCAGGTTTGAACATGATGCTTGTTATGTAAATTGGTATTTTAAGTTTGTTTCAGAGGATTCATATTTTATTTGATGGGAATTAATTTTGTGAATTTTATTGATTTGCAATTCTCTACAATTTATCATTGTTTAGTTTCTCGATAAAGCTTCTACAATTGGTTTTAATGCATAGTATGAAATTACTATCATGATGGGAACAAAAAGGTTGGTTATTTGGATCTTCCCCATATTCTGGAATGCTTAGGCCTTGGAAGCACAACATAGACGCGAGTGTCATACAGACACGACACGGACACGTTGGTACATACAATTTTTTAAAAAGGACCACACTACTCCTGACACAATACACTGATTAAATAATATGAACTTTTTTTTTTATTTTATTTTAATATTGTGAACTATATTTATTTTTCTTAATTCGAGTGCGTAGTCGATATATATCCCGGCATGTCGGCAATGAACTCCTAGTGTGTCGGCACGTATCTAGTGGTACAAAACTAAACATAGTTTGAAAACACCACCTGGAGTTTCCAACACATGTCGATGTCGTGTTTCTTAGTGTGTCAGCACCGTGGTAATGATGTGTTCAGGTATATAAAATTAAAATTTTTTTTTTTGGATACAACCTAGCGTTTCCAACATTTTGGTGTTGTGGGTGTCCGGTAATGTATCGATGATGTATCCAACTGTACAAAATCAAAAAATGATTTAGACATGCCACATGGCATTTTTTTGACACGCTTTGGTGACATGTCAATGTTGTGTTGACGTATGTCATACATTGACTTACCGATCCTGGTAGGGTGTTGATGCATCCTAGCTTAGGCCTAAAAATTGTTCTCAACCAATCTCTAAAGAGAAGGGAAAAGATGTGACCTGGAGTGTGATCTTATGTTAACATTTTTCTACTATATTTGTTGATTGTCCATCACTTTCTTTTATATACCTTTTTTAGTACTATTCCAATATTGATATATTTCATACTTATTTTTATTATTATTGTTTTTTTTTAATGTCGCAAGAAATAGTCTTTTGTAACCGCATTACACCATGTTAATTTTGATATATATCTCCCTATTTTAATTCGTTATACTAGGATCTCTTTCCAACCACCTATGTCATCTTTCTCTTAATTTTCCTCAATTAGTGACATTGTTGGCATAAATGTTCACTTATTATTTTGGATTCTGCAAAATACTTATTACACTGTGTCAAGTCACTCTGTTTTGCTTCTGTAAAAGGCTCTGTTAGTGAGAAGAGTATCCTGGACATTAATTTATGCTTTTGAATTATGAGTCTGAGGGCAACTTCGTTGCCATTGTAGTTGAGAATAATATGTATTTTTAGATATTTATGATGGTAAATGCATTATTGGATTTATGGAGAATTAGTCCTAATTTGAAGAGAGTCTAATTTAAAATTTTCCCTTCAGTGAATTTTCTCATTTTGTTAATTCAGACTTAATATTGACTGTGCAGGAACTGGAAGTTGAAGGGGAATTGCCGGAGAAGGTCTCCTGTTATCAGGGAGTCTTTTATAATTATTTTAGCATAGGTGTGCATTTCATTTTCTTCCATTTTTGGCTAAGTTTATAAGGTGGTGGTTGAAAGCGTTACTATATAAATGCAGGAATGGATGCCCAGGTTGCTTATGGTTTCCATCACCTACGCAATGAAAAACCTTACCTTGCACAGGGTCCTATTTCGAACAAGGTGCAAATTCTTTTACATATATCCGAGATTATGTCTCAAATTTCTATCCATCTATGTAGCATTAGTTGTACAAATGGTTGCTTTTTAACTCCTGGAATTAATGAGTTTGGGTTCCAAAGAGTGGGATACATAGAAGTCAAATTTCACTGCAATGAAAACCTGAAGCTTTAGGATATTTAGAAGTCAAATTTCACTACAATGAGAATCTGAAGCTTTCAATAGCATGTAAATCTTTCCTTTGGGTGTCCCTATAGATGGTTTTCAATGAGTAGGAATACAAAGAAACTTCATCAGTTACATAGGAACGATATTCTGAAGTTTTCAATGGCTCGTCAATGTTTGCGATGAGTTATTCACATTCTGATGTTAAAGGGTTATATCTGACTCTGTTAAAGCTTTTTTGGAGGCTCAGGTTACTTTGAATACTTGTCCATAGGGTTGGAAAATCAAACATGATAATGAATCCTTCCTAGTTCTAATTTGAATCTTGCATTGGTTTATTGTACAATTTTAATTTGGGGATTGGAGGTTCTGATCGATTTTTTGTACCTCTATTACTGATGGTATTCCATAAGGTCATTTTTGACGTATTTTAATACAAGTGTCAAAAAGATCACATACCTCGTTGAGGTAGTAATGAATTAATTCACAGCATGAATAATCTGTTGACATGGGTTATACAAATTTAAAGTGCAACTGATCCTCTTCACTGCAGATAATATATTCTGGATATAGTTGCAAGCAAGGCTGGTTCTTCACACCATGCAGCAGCGATCCAGGTTTAAGGTCAGAACTTTATTACCTTCGAATTTTTCTTGCTCACACATACTGTATTGCTTGTTTTGGGATTTTTTGGTACTCTTGGATAGCTGTCAAGGGGAATAGAAGTTGAATCTCCTTTCCAAATATCTCGTAATATTTGAAACTTTTCCCTATGCACATAAATCTGAACTTCCTGCATTTTATATCTTGTTTTGTATATTTATGAGTGCATTTTGATTCTTATTTTTAATTACCTTTTCTTTTTCTCTTTGTGCTGATTCTTCCCTAATTAAGGAAATAAATCTTGGTGGAATTGCCACATATGATATTGAGCACAATTTAATTTCAAAGAAATAGCCCACTTGTTTATTCAATCCTTAAGAAAGCTGCCTTGCTGTAGCTTCATTATTCATTTTCTCCATTTCTTTATTATATAAGTTAACAGTAAATTTGGTAATGATGAATTGAATATCTAGAGTCGAGGCTTATGCTTAGACATTTGTCTGATTGCTACAATTTAACCTTAATTAATCATTTTTGAGTTGCTGAGGTGGGTTGGTATGTCTGTTTTTGTAAGTCTTTTACTTTACGCTGCTGCCTCAGATTCTGAATTCAGATCTCTCTTTCCTGAAATCCATGTTTCTTTCTTAATTTACCTGAAAAATTCTCCGGGCATATACTGCAGGATTATCTCCCTGAGGCACAACTTTAACAAATATTGATGCTTCCTTTAATTATTGAAAACACCATTTAAATCGTCAAAAATGATTGCGTCTAATATCCCAGCATGACATCGTCATGTAATACGACTTTTGAGTCCTCCACAAACACATTGTAGTTTAATATGTTAAAAGCTTACAAGGCTTATTTGGATTCAAACTGTTCATTTGCATGCTTAAACTTTGATTAACTAGAGTAGCCATTGATTGTGTTCCCGTTGTGGATAATTTGGTGTCTGATTTTGTAAATTTGTGCTTTGTGTAGAGTAGTCAAGTGTAGATAATTGTCAATACACTGGTAATTTTTGCATTGTTTTTTATACAGGGGACTAAAAAACATCTTGAGGATATATGTTAAGAAGGTCAATTCTCAAGAATGGGAGCAAATTCCTATTCCATCAAGGTTGATTTTGTTGCATAGCATAGTTTACTGCATGTTATTTTTTAGTTTGTAGCCATATATTTAGATGACACGATCTGGATGCGTACTGAATTCTTCAAAATATTTACTGTTTAGTCCTAATCTATATATTTTTGCCTACATTTTACTTAAATTACCTGGGATTTCAATATTACAGTGTGAGGTCTGTAGTTGCTCTAAATCTCCCCAGTTATGGAAGTGGAAGAAATCCGTGGGGTAATTTAAAGCCAGAGTATTTAGAGAAGGTAAATACCTGGTCACACAATACACATAATGGTGCATTTTTCTCCCTTTCATTTGTCCTTTTATGTTTAGCACACCATCACATAGTAATGATGCAATTTTCTCACTGTCCACGTGTCCTTCTATGTTGATTTAAAGTGTTTAGTGCACTGTGCATGAAGACGGATGAAACTATGTCCAAACGACTATACTGCTACTACAAATAAAATAATCCTGGTTTTGGTTTTTCTTTGTAACTGCCAAAATATATATTGCATCTTTTTTTAAATAAAAAGTAATTTGAGCTACATTCATGTGTCTTGCGTTGTGTTATCAATGTTATGTGCTGCTTTTATTTTACTGAAACTGGTCCACAGTGCATATGCTCAGATTAGTTTGGCCAATGGATGAAGTAGATCAAAATGTCATTACTTGAGCTCAAGCCCCGGAATGTTATGTTACTTTTGCAATTGCAAGGAGACTATTTTATTAATGTCTTAGGGAATTAGGAATAAGAATAATTGTCTCTCTTACTTAGAAAGTAAGATAGTAGTCCTTTTCTTAATATAAGTGATAATCAAGCTCTATTCCCTAGCCTCGTAGAGATGCTTCTATCTTGTAATAAAAGCACGCCAATCCAATCCCCTATTTCAGGCACACTGATTAGTTGAATGACTAATCAATTGATTGATGTAGGCATCACTATTTCCTTTGTCCTTCCCTCCTATTTTTGCACTATAACTAGTGGTTCCTTCTGATTCGAAGTATCCCCTTTTCTTTCATAGAGACATCCAACATGTATATTTGGGATAATTTACACGTCAATGATTAACAGCATTGGATGATGGCTATATGCTGCTAGGAATTCTCTTCTTTAAATTGTTTTTAAAGAATGTATCTTTTCATAGTGGTAACTGAAGGTTGATCAAGGACTGAAACCTTATCTAGTAGAGCATTTGCGTATATCACTCGATTAAGATATGTAGACAGAATTGCAAATGACAATCTTTCGGAGTGAATGCTTGGAATGTTTGTTGGTGTTCCTTAACTTCGTTTAATCAAAAACAGGTTCTTACAAAATAAATAAATTGATTGAATCAATGGAAATATATCAAAGCAAAATGCAAAGAGGAGAAGTTGCAGAATTTAATCCAAATGACTGTTGCTGCTTTGTTTTTTGTTGCATCTCAATCTAAATATCTCTCTCTATAAATGCTTGTGCCTGAATTGGTCTGTATGCTTGAAATTGCTTGAGACAGTTGATCATATCAAAATAAAGTTTGTTAAGTATGCCAGTTTTGTTTGATAGTGAATCTATAACTACTGCCTATATGTTTAATATTGAAAGAATTGTGTTGGATTATAAGTTAATGGTAGTTCTTTTTACTTCTTAAATTCTCAGAGAGGATTTGTTGAGGCCCATGCTGATGATGGTTTTTTAGAAATTTTTGGTTTGAAACATGGATGGCATGCTTCAATGGTTATGGTTGAACTTATCTCTGCCAAACACATAGCTCAGGTACTAATAAGTGGTCAGAGTTAATGATTCTAGGTGTTGCGTGATTTGGTTGAAAATGTTCAATTTTAATGATCTTTAAAAATAATAGTCATATTTGTCAGAGATTGGTTAATGATACTCTTTGCTTTTTCGATGGTAAACTTAAAATGAATTATCCTGCAATTTTCTAGGCCTCATCTATTCGATTTGAGCTTAGAGGAGGAGAATGGACAGAGGCATTTATGCAGATGGATGGTGAACCATGGAAACAACCAATGAACAAGGAGTTCTCGACATTTGTGGAAATTAAGCGTGTACCTTTTCAGTCAGTTATTGTGCATGGAGAATAATTTGAGCAACTTTTTGTTGTGTGTAAAACATCTTTCCCCTTGGGGATTCACATAATTATTTATCTTGATGCTGCCAATTCTCTGGGCATCAAGTTATTGTTGTGAAAATCTATAGTTTGTCAATGTTACTAATCCCTTGTTCAGGAGAAATTTGTTTAGTTGATTCCGACACCCGTACCAAATTAATGTACTGTTGTTTTTCCTTCATGCTATTTTAAGGAAATCCTTTGTTTATTAGAGTGATGTAGATGTATTGACTACCAAATTCTAAGCATTGTGCTAAACTCTTGTATATTTTCACTAATAAAAAGATTGAATATATTCGAGACATGTCGTCAACTCCCTCTGGCCAATTGGAGGCTGATTTCAGCAACTTGGCGTGAAGAAACATGACGAACAAGAACCCCAACGTATTAAGGAAATATCAATTTCAATATATATGTACACAAACTATACATTGCAAACAGGGAGAATCACCACTAGTTTGTCTGTTTGTGTAACTTCAGCAATTTAGATAGAAATTAAAGAGTACATCGACCAGAAAACTACTCTTACGTACTCGATTGCAGACCCACCTGGATGTTGATCTGTTTTGCCTAGTTGGAATGGAGCTTATGTAAACTTGACATCTTCATGTTATAAAAGAAAGAATGAAGAAGAGAAAAATATAAAGGACGATAAAATTAATAAGAACACCATTTTATTTACTTCAATAATATTTTGCATATCAGTTCTCGATCAATGTGATCATAGTATGTTCATACCAAGATGATGCTAATATTCCTAAGAACACCAGTCTCAGGCTCAGGAAGAGAATACTGCAGTTGCATTTTGTCTTCTAAGAATTCCCCTCTTGATGGTTATCACTTCCTTGATTTTCAGCAGAAGCGCTCTCATTGTTCTGGCCAGGTTCACAGATTTCTTCCTCACTTTGACTCAGTGGCTCTTCAATATGCGGAGCCCCAGTCTCGGGGACTGGATCATGTATTTCTTCCCTATCATTTCGTGTTGAATGGAATTCTGAAGGCATAAGATGGAAGCACATTTGGCTGAACTGAGCAGTAACTTTTCGTCCAAGTGATGTCTCTGAGCAGAGTAGAGCAAACATGGTAACCGATCCTACAATAATGAAGAGGCCTCCAAAGTCACCAAAAGCAAGACTGGAGGTCCGTTGTGAGATCGTCGAGGTAAGTGGATCTTGAGAAGAGTATCCATGTCCAAAATTTGTTTGCTCAATAAATGTCATGTTTGGACCTTGAGTAACGGCAACGATTGCTCTTGAGAAATATGCAGTTAAGGGAGAGCCAACAGGAAATGCCTAATTAGACGATGCATAATATTTCCAATCAGAAAAGCTTCATAGGAACCAAAATATACCCCCACAATCAAATTTAATAGTTATAGGAAAATTCTATTTGTACATAATTTTTTACCTAATGTTTTACCGAATTGACAAGTGGCAGCTCTCACGCCCCCCCCAATAGGTGGCCACCACTTGTCAATTCGGTAAAACATTAGGTAAAAAATTATGTACAAATAGAATTTTCCTATAACTATTAAATTTGATTAGCATAACTCGTAGTTATATATCAGAACAATTTTTACTTCGTGAAGGATATGGTAAAATAATGTCTTCATGGATAGCAATCGAGATTTTGATAAATCATAGGTTGGGCATTTCAAATTTATCAAATAAGCTTTTCAGGATCTAAAACTGTACGAGAGCAGATAAACCCATGTTTTACTAAATCAAGGCAAAAAGGGGAAAAATAAGTGGTGACTTGCCGGAAACATAAAGTTCATCAGCCACTATTTAAAGTATGATTGCTAATGCGACACAGTTGCTTCTCCTGTGCATAAATAGTACTCGAATGATCTATAAATTATGGTTACAAGTTCTTACTCAGTTGAATTTATACAATTAGGAAAAAATGTGTAAGTTAAAAGAACAAGAAAACTTACGATGCCAAATCCATCGGTCCTGTACCTTGGTCCAACCATTTTATACAGAGAATCATATTTCTTAAGAAAAATCTTCATGTAAGGAATCTCATCAAATATGGCATCTATGCCTCCCCTTTTGCTTCCTTTAGACATAGCGTCATGGTACCCTTCAACTGATGAGTAGCTCTTGAGCCTTGACTCATCGATGTTTAGTTGCACTTTCAAAAATTCTTTCATGAAGGAACCCTCCTGATATCCCACATAGTACTCCTCAGAAAAAGCAAATTTTAGTTGATCTACTGTCAAAATTGCCGATAAATTAGCTGTGTAGCTCTGCATAAGGATGAATGCCATGAACAGCCAAAACATCAATACAAATATTGACCATGTATTAGCCACCATATTCCCTGTCAAGAACAATAGAAACAGTCTTAGCGTAAATCAAGTCTTCACGGTGCTGATTGAAAAACTTGGCGTGTGGTTCTTGTTTTAACTTATTAAGTGCGCAGATAATATTTAGCAATCTGGCTGGATATTTCTTAGTCTGGTTGGGAAAATTGGTTCTGTGTTGATTTCTCACTAGTTTTCCACGTGAGGCATTCATCGGAACTATTAGAATCCCACATTGTTTGGGAAAATATAAATGATCTACTTAATAAGGTGAGGACAATCCTCCCCTAATAAGCCGATTTTATTAGGTGGAGATAGACCCAATATTCCTAATATGGTATCAGAGCTAAGCCCAATTATGCAATGTTGGGTGCCACCCAATATCGATTTGTTCACAGTTGTTTGGCATGGTCCACGCTGTGCATGAGGGGGCGTATTAGAATCCCACATTGCTTGGGAAAATATAAATGATCCACTTAATAAGGTGAGGGCAATCCTCTCTTAATAAGCCAGTTTTATCAGGTGGAGTTAGGCTCAATATTCCCAACAGGAACTAATGGCTCCAGACTAGCTAAGAATAGTCGGGATTAATGGAAAACTATAAAACTCAACATGAAAATGATTTAGAAATTACTTTCAGGAAATGCAAGGACTGTTATTGGAGACCAGTAGGTCATTCTAAGTCTCTCCCTGTGTGGCCTAATCGAATCTTCATCAGTGTTTGGTACTCTGCGTTCCAATATTCGAAGAACTATTCCCATCAAAATGCAGGCAATGATGATTGATATCCAAAGATCCCTGTGAAGCAGCTTAATAAAAATCCACATGTCAAACGGATTCTTATTTTTGACTACTAGAATGACTCCTGGTTCAGAATATGGTAGCGAAAAATCAACATAATTTGCTCGTGGTGCCCAAATTGTTGTATCTCCCACCACATGTCAAATGTCTGTTTCCACAAGAAAATAATAGCCAAAAGGTAATATGACTCTGAGTAAGCATTAAGTTTATCAGAACTAAGATTAACTATAAACAAAGAGATTTGAAGAGTAATGAAACGAAGATCAAAGTACCTGAGGTATCTCATGAAGCATATCGTCATAAGTCCATTTACTATTTTTGCTGTCATTATAATGATAGAATTCGTATTTAATAGTGAAAGGTAGCAACTTTAATGCAGCCAAAAAGATATAAATTGAAAACCCAGTTGCATTTGTACGATTTGTTGCAGGATCTATTGTTACATTTACAAATTGTTTGAATCCACGTGCCATTGGAACCCCAACTCTCAGTTTCCCTGTTGCAGGAATAGCCCAACCCTTTGGTTGCGCGACACAATCTCCAGGCCAAATGGCATTTTTGAGATTTTTTGTGGATGTTGAGTTTGTTGGTTCGCCAGTTGGACTTAATTCTCCAGATATTCCTTTTTCTGGTGTCCAAAACCCCATAGTTTTCTCTCCACTTCCAATTACGTTGAATATCTCAAATACTGAAGGTTTCAATTTCCCATTAATAAATTGAAAGTTTCCTATCAGGCCTCTAAATTTTGTATTTGATAATTCGCTGAGAAGTCTTGGTCCATATGCTGAGACTTTCAAATTGCCCATTTCATTTTTGCTGGTGTTCGTATATAATGAGCTTGCGTTTACTGGCCCAATCTTCTCAGCTGCTATTGCTAAGGAGCATACTGTATCGTACACCCACAAACCATAGACATTTAACTCCCCAATTGAACCCACACTCTCTTTGGGAACCATATTCATTTTCCAACTTTGTTGGAAACTGTTGAGCTTTTCTGACCGCTGTACATAGGGCCTTATACCCAAAACACCTTCCATGGAATCGCGGACAACAAAATCCATTGAACTCAAGAATTTAGATAAATACTCGGTGATAATCCATGCATACCCTTCACTTATCATTCCTGCATTTTTGGCATGAAGAAATAGCCGAGAACCAAGTGACAAGTTCATGTGCACTAGGAATACCCTCGTTTTCTTTGCTATAAGCTTGTTGAGTTCTTTAAATATTTGAATGTCATCTGATGTGATGGCACTCGTATACGCTATCCCAATTTCAACTTCTTGGAATACCTTATTCAGATGCCAAAGAAAATGATTGACGTATTCCGTGTCTTCATACAAAATCACTACTTCAGGCCATTTAAATCCTTGGCAAATGGCTGCAAGAGCTTGAGCCTGATACAGATCATCTGGAGTTGTCCTAACATAGTATCGATTTTGTGCACCGGAAATAGTTGAGCTTCTGGCACTGAAAGAAATGACTGGCACATGAACTTTTCCTCCAAGTTCTGCAACAAATTTGTCTTCTATAGCACCATGTGGCCCCAAAATTCCATGCACTTCTTCATGCTTCAGTAACTTTTGAACTGCAATCAATATAATTGTCTTTAGACATGGATGTTAGAGATGGGACGAGGTTATATGGCACTATATGAAGTATTGATCATAACAATAAAATGAACACAAAGACAAGAATTCAATATGGCAGAGGAATTTGAGATTTTATTCAACTATAATGGGAAGAAAATACAATAAGGGTGCGTTTGATTGCAAGGGTGGAAAATG